GAGTATGACCGAAGCCGACGGGAGGAGCATTCCCCAGGGGACCATCACGCTTGTGCATTATATTGGTAGGACCGACCACTTCAGCGGTCATCACACCGCCGGGGAGGGGCACTGTCATACTGAACGGAACAGCGTGGGCTGGTATGACGGAGCCAAGGGTGGCAACGATAGGGAGGAGGGCGACGGGACGCATGATTGAACGCGACTGAAGGGCAAAGGAGTGTTAAGGGTCTGACTTGGGACGTCGAGGACGGCGGCGGGTTAGGCTGTTGAGGGCGAGGTGGGAGTCGAGAAGAAAGATGCTTGCCTGGGGGGCGAAACGAACACGGCGGGTTTTATAGCGTGTGGGCTAAGGCTGGCGGGCGGTCCAGACCCTGGGGGGAGGATGACAGCAGCAGAAATTCAGAGCCCGCCCGCCGCCCGCCATTCAAGCCACCGGCCTGGTGCACGCCCGCCTACTTCAGGAGCATCACGAACAAACCGCATCGATTATCACCCACCTTGCGAGACTCATTCAGATAGAGAATACTGACGAACCATGCGCTGGTATACGCGAGTACAATGCAGGACGCCGTGCAGCTGGGATCTGGGAGAGCAAGTAAACTTAAACCTCAACAGTTGCCTGTTTGGGCGGCGGCGCAAAGATACGAACGCAAACCTCCGGAAGAAGCTGTCGTGCATGTCGACGTCGTTGAGAGAAAATTACCACCAGCAGTGGCCCGCTGGTGCCTCAAAACTGCTCACCTCGTTCTAGTATGCACATATATACGTGGTACATATCGAGGACATGAAGACGCGAAGTCTACGCACTCATGCTCAGGCAGTCCTGCCACGGGCCAGGGCCCGGGAGAGTATCCCCAAGGCGAATGGCGAGAGCTTGTTTGCTGGCTATGTATGTCAACATCCTGATATCCGACAATGATTATGATTTCAGACAACGGCATAGGGTCCAGTCTGATCCAGTACTTACTGTGGCCTTAGGGGGTCAAAGCAATTTGCGAACTCAGAGATACGCTGTAGGCTGTCGCTTGTCCTGTTGTGGCATGTTGTGGTACCACGGGCGCCAAGTGACCTCCAAGTGGCCTTTTCAAGGCGATGGCGCACGCCGCAGGATGCCATAACTGCTGCTCGGCATCCGCAACGAAATGCTGGCGAATGCTGGATACAACAATACCGACACCGCCTTGGCTTGCAAGCGACAAGGCAAATGCTGGGACCGGAAGGAGCAACAGTGCACGTCGCACGAGTCAACTCGTGGCACTACGCCTACGGAGCGCCCGCTGTCGCCCAAAATGGATCCTCTATTGTTCGACGTATCCGAAAACAATGAGCCTTTGGAGTCCATACACAATGGCCTTTATTCTCTCAAATACTCGGGGCGACCAGGAGGATGCGACCCCTCACTCTTTTGGGTCTTTCCGCTCTCTCCTCATAGAACTGCTCGTAGTTACGTCCGTCGACGACCCCCTCCACTGATCCTTACGACGTCGCCGGCCGACTTTCCTTCATTCCAGCAATTTCAATGGCAACAGCACCACAGACTCGTTGGATGTCCCCTCCCCCTGTCTACGACGCTTCTCGCTCGACCCCCGTCTCATACACGACCCTCACACCTTACCTCCAGCTCTCTCATATCCTATCCCTCACATGGCTAGCCTATCCCATCATCTCGCTTCTCTTCGTCGCGTTCCGTCTGCAGATTTCCTCTGCATCTGCACAAGATGCCGTCGCCAATGCGAAAGGTGACCTCCTGACTAGCTGCAAAGCGGCAGAAACCGCGGCTACTTCAGCAGCTAGTATGCCTCGCTACCTTGCCGTCGCCTCAAACCAGCAGATCACAGATGCTGTGAACGGTAGTCTCAATGCAGCAAGGGCTACTCTTGTCCTCGCCCTGACGATCATGGAAGCTATAATTAACTTCATCATTGACATCTACCGCTCGACATTCTTGTGTTTCCTCGAACTTGTCGTGCGAGGCGGTTTGTCTATCATCATTGGAGCAGTACAAGAGGTATACAATTTTGGAATTCACGCGACATCTCAAGTACTTACGCATATTGCAGTTCAACAGCTTTATACAGAACGCCTTCAGCAGCTTGCGTACATCCATCCAGAATGACATCGCTACTGCGAATAAGGTCATTCAGGGCGCCGTAGACGCTATCAACAAAGTCAATCCGTTTTCGGATATCAAGGCCCCTCAAATCAACATTCCTAGCCTTGACTCCCTTCAGAATGTTACACTGCCTTCGGACTTTCAAGACGCACTTCTGAAGCTGAACAATTCACTTCCCAGTGTCTCGGAACTGAAAGACAAGGTAGAATCTATGTAAGTAGAGTTCATTTCATTTCAATCAAATATTAACACTCATTTTCTCATGCTAGCATCGATAAACCATTCGAATTGCTCAAGAAGGACATCAACGACACGTTCGCTAATATCACGTTCGATTCTTCGACGCTGCCTGTCCCGCAGCAGAACAATGTCCTGTTCTGTGACCAGATGGATACGTCCGTCGTCGATGACCTTGGTCACGATTTGCTCAAGATCTCCAAGATCGGAACTATCCTTCTTGTGCTGATTGCCCTCATTCTGCTTGCAGGGCACTGCGCTTTGGAATGGTACAAGTGGCGCTGCCTAAAGCAGCACTTGCAATACACTCGTGAGGCATGGATGACGGACCCCGGTCTGTTCCATGGTGGTTCAAAGGAGGCACCTACATTGGTCATGAGCGACCACAACCTGCTCATGCTCCAAGCATCTTCCTCACATCCTCTCTTGACGAAGATCGCGAACAGGATCAGTAGAATCTTCCGTCTGAGTCCCTCGCAGTACGTCCACCTCCAGTGGTTCTTCCACTACGTCTTCCATCCACCCGCACTCGCCGTCTTCCTCATCGGGTTCTTCGGCCTCTTATCCGTCCAAATCCAACTCCTCGCCATCTCCCCGATTGCTCACAAGTACTCCGAACGAGCAGTGGCTTCCGCGAACGACTTTTCCAATACCATCGCGACATCGATGAACGCGAGTATGTACAACCAGTCCGCTGCGTATGCTGCAGATGTCAACTCTCGCGTGGACGCCATTCAGTCGACTGTCAATGATGGTTTGTTCGGATGGGTCAATGGGACAACCACGACGTTGAACGACACGATCAACGAGTTCTATAACGATATCCAGAATGCCGTGAACACTGTGTTCAACGGGACTATCTTGGACGAACCCGTGCAGGATTTCATTCGTTGCTTCATTGGATCCAAAGTCGACGCTATCGAATCCGCCCTGACCTTCCTACACGACAACCTCCACATCGACGTTCCACGCGTGAACGATTCCGTTCTCGTGTTGTCCCCGGCGGACGTTAACGAAGTTACGCGACCTGTTGCTCTAGCTGCCATTGGCAGTGGAGATGGGTCCGACAACGACGGTTTGGTTGGACGTCTCGTTGCCGCCTACGTAAGCTCGCTGAAGAAAGAACGCATCATGTTCGGAATTTTCATGGGCTTATGGGGCCTCGTTGTCCTCATAGCGCTCTGCATCATCTTCTGGCATTCGTACGGCCGTGACTGGGTCGAGGCTTACAAGAAGCGAAAATGGCAGAAGGAACAACGGGATGGGATAAACGGCCTTGTTGTCCCCTACCGCGATCCCAGCGCAGCTCACCAGCAGCACGCAGGTGGTTTTGAAGGCGATCCCGAAAAGTCAAACCCGGACAATTTGCCGTCATTCTCGCCTATGCCCGCGCCCAAGCCGAGTTTGTTCAGCTCGATCCGTTCACCGACGTTCCAGGCCAAAGCACCCCATCCGCTCAACTCTCGCAACCCTACATACCCAGATTCTTGGGATAGCCTGCTTGAGAGGTCAAACACGCGAGAACCTGGCGCAGAAACAAAATCTGGTTTCAAGATCAGCGCACCCAAGAAGCTTATGGCGTTGGGAAAGATGGGACGAGAACGCTTTGTTGGAGACAATAGGGGCAGTAACGCGGAGTCTTCCCAGGCTGATCTTGTGGAGCACCCTACTGAGACGCAACAAGGCTCGTCGTCATGGTTGCAACGCCTACAAGGAGCTTTCAGACGAAAGGAACCTTCGGATGTAGAAGAAGATAATTGGGAGGGCAAAGAAGTAACGACGGAAACGTCGGAGCGTCCTCGGCCTCAGCTCACGGTGAACACCGCTCGCGCGGAGGAACATGCTCGCAACCTCCCCACTGTTGAGGAGGAAACGCCCTCTCCGCAGCGGAATGTCCCCGCTTCTGCATGGTCCGTTTCTCCAGGTCCTGCTCCCAAACGACCATGGATACCAAGCATTGTCCACAAGAGGGCACCAAGTCGCTCCTCTACGACGATCACCCCCTTCCCTTTCCAACCGAAATCAAGACGAACAGCTAGCGTACCTTCGGACGTGCAGTCCGTTCGCGACTCCTTCAACATCGCCATGCCCCAACCTCAACCCCACTTCGCCGTCCCCCTGCACCACGGATATGAGCGACCCATCCCACCAATCCTTATGTCCCCCACAGACGGAGATTCACCCATCTACGGTCTCCATGCCCACAACGCCGACTTGACGTCTCCCGCACTCCCTCCGATACCCGATAACCACAACCACGACCCATTCGTGACACCTTTCGACGATGAGAACCGGCCCGGTACGGTTCCTACGCCGACGACTGCTTCCTCTGAGAGGAAACATCGGTCCAATAATCCTTTCATTGCAATGGCTATATGATCCCCAGATGAGGTTATGTTTCTTGACGGACCGTAGCTTTTATTGTATACTTCTTGGATTGGGCTAATATCCTCTTGACTTCTTGTTTCAACACCGCATTCGTTGTCTACTGTATCTCTAACTTGCCCTTGCCATTAACTGTAGCATATCGTATACATCTCTTACCGTTAACAATCACATTGTTGGTACATACCAGAGAACGACTATTTCTGTGATGGTCTGAAGTAGACCAAAACGTTGCTTGACATCGAGTTCATACAAAGTCGAAGCGCCGATGGGGTAGTGGTAACCTGGGTCGTTGCCATGCAGCAACATCGACCCGCCGGGGGTTCGATTCCCCCTCGGCGCACTCAGCTTTTTTATTGGTGCTCTTTTTAGTGCATACTTCACGCAACTTGGCCCTTCATTTGCCAACGTATGGTCCCACCAAGGTAGAGAAATACGCACTCATACTATAGGAAGCACTAGGAAAGCACTACATGTACAAAGAAGTGACAATACAGAAGTATATGATGGAAGACGTTGGGAGGCCCATTCGATCAAAATGTAACTACGCCGCGGCGCGTACTCTCGTTCAATCATTCTGGGTGTTGTTGAGGAGACGCAGGATACTGATGACTGGAAAGGAGGAGCAATGTTAGCCGGTGTTAGCGGAATGTCAGCGATTGCAGAATACATACAGAGGTTGATGAAGCTGTTAGAAGAGAACGCAAATGTGAGCAAAAACGTTATATATATACAGGAAGAGAGACGAAACATACTCAAGGTAGAGGCTGATAGCAGCTACGATGTATTCATCGGGGGATAACCTGTTGTTGATCATGTAGGTATCGTAGATAACATATCCGCTGAAAATCAAGCAACCGCCAATGGCGTAGATGAGGTCCAGGGTTGAGTTGAACGGAAGGAAGATTCCAACGAAGCCAGTCATGACTGTAAATAGATATTATCAGCATCGAAGTATTCATTCCAGTAGATGAAAAACCCAAACTGACCAAGAGCAATCAAACCTCCAAAGAGCCAAGGGCCCATGCCGGAGAAGTCATACTGAAGAGGGGTTAGAACGGAAACCTTGTGATGGACACGTGTAGACCTACCTTGGACTGGAACGTGAACAATGTCAACCCAAGGAAGACACCCAAGGTGATCAACCTGCCCAAAGCGTTAGCCAATCTATAAAACTACCGCTCTCATATAGATAACACGTACAATGCCTGCATCACAGTTGTAGGGTCAAAGAAGGCAGTCATGACACCGAGGGTGAAGGCTTCCATGACGGTAAACGTGGACAGTAGGACGAAGTTCCATGGATGGGTGTGTCGCTGCCAGTAGAGTAGGCCTAGATTGAGGAGAGTGCCGAAGAGGGGGACGTAGAAAGACCATTGACTATGAGAGGTGAGAGGTCAGTGAGCGCAGTAGATTGGGGCGCCGCTTAACGTACTGGGTTAGGACCCAAAGGATGGTGTCTGGGCTATGTGAGATGAATCCTGCAACGATGCAGGTGGCGAGCTGATACAAATGTCAGCACAACACACCAGGAGATCGGTGGCTACTTCAACTTACGATTTGAATGACTAATTGGATGCAAAGCGTGAGTATGCACTAGTGGGAAGGTTGAAATTCGGGCGACTTACAAAGAATAGTGTACACTTTGCGAACGAAAGCGTTCCTAATCTCAACAGCACTGTCTGCGACGGAGGTACCATACTGCAACACATATCGTCAGCTTCAGTCCTAAAACTCCCCCCACAAACGAGTACTCACCTTGAAGTCATCAGGAAGGTCCCCCGCAAGAGGCTGATCGTAGAATGCTCCCGCGCTCGGTCCCGCCCTGAGTAATGGCTGGGTAGCCTCCGCGTCAGCGAGGACACCGTTGTTCTTGTTACTCGTAGCCTGGTACGAAGGAGGGGGTTGAGGATAGTTGTTCATCGTCGTGCTCGTCGTTAGTGCTCAAGAGATTAGAGGGGTATACGGACAAGGTGCAGTGCTTTGCCGCAGTGCATCTAGAGCCGGTAGTTATCTCATTGTGATTGACAGTGACACAATGTTCCCACGGTTATTGTACTTGTAGTGCTTTGGCGGCTAAACTACCAATATGTAGCCAAACATTGTAAGGCTTCGAGACCCCGAATGTCCTCGAACCTCCGATGAACAAAGCGTACCTTTCGCGAGAAAGTCATGACGATGGAATGACGGAAGTCAAGGCCTTGCAAGAGGGTACTCTACGTACAATGTACATTGCCGAGCTGACCTGGAAGAGAAGAACAATCCTGGCTCCATTCCTTAACCTATAGCGCTATACTAGCTATCACCTCGAGCTACTAACCTCCGAAGGCACGAGATACACTACGTGGAAGCATGAGCACTAACAGGCATAGACAACGCCATATCCAACGGCACCGGGAACCCTTCATGATAGATATTCTTCAAATGCGTCGCCATAGGATGAATCATCGACCTCAACGCATTCAAGGCAGCACTAGCCGTCATATGTAATGACCAAGTGCTCACGGCTTTCAGACGACGGTTGAAGTTAGCTTGCGTTACGTGGTATGCCATCGCTTCGTAGACTTTGACGGCGATCTCGTCCATGAGGCCGGCTAGAAGGGGTGATGATTGGTGAGGGGCATGTGAGGGGGAAAGAAGGGTTGTACGTACTCTCCCACATTGTCCAAGCACCATCGAAGTCGCTCAGGTCTTTTATGACCCGGCAATGGATGGGCACCAATGTACGATTGGCACTGCAAAACTCACGTGAGCATGAAATGCTGAAATACCATGAACAGGATACGCACTTCATGAATGCAACGATAGGCCGTATCAGAGCATTGTTCGTATAGCTCAAGTCCTGGGTGAAGATAGGAACAGCAGCCTTCAAATCCCTAAACCTCAAATCAATATCGATCACCACCTTCTTCTCATCCCCGCCCCCTTCCTTCCCCGTTTCGACCAACATAGTGACGTTGTCGCTCGGGGCGCTGAGAGGCGGTTTGGCCAATTCTCTCTGACCGGGGATACGGTCTGAAACGGCTGAAGAGGCAGCGGTGGTGATGGCGTCGGCGATTTCACCTAGGAAAGCGTTGAGAGGCTGGTCTTCGTTTCGGTCTCGAGGGAATTTAATGTCAAGGACTGCATCAACTTTCCCGGATGTGATCCAAGAGATTGGACCTTCTTGAGTTGTCATTGCTTGCAAGTGATCGACGTTCACACCATCTATACGGAACCGAGACTGCAAGGGGTAAACTCCGTCAGGTCCTATTCCCAATGTTCAGTTGAAAAAGAGTGACCTACCATTCGGGACCATTTCCCGTCCTTCAGATCCTGTTCGGTCGTCCTCCCAATACTCTGAGGTCGATGCAAGCTGAACAAACAATTATCAAACTGTCCTACGACATTCTCGGCAGACAAGAAGTCATAGAACATCCACTGCTTGCGGAACAAACGAATGTCAGCCCGGAAGATTGATGCGGTGTACGGTCTAAAGTCTCCAGGCTGGTAGACAGTGACGAGGACGTCTTCCAATTGGAGAGATTCCAGCTCGAAGTCTCCCGGGTGAGGAGTGTGACGATAGGCCGCGGGGTCAGCAGGGTGTTCTGGGTCCCAGTGGACTGAACGACGATCTGGCGTGAGGATGTTAGCAAACGAAGAGATTCGTCAACTTCAAGATGAGTTACCTAGTACGCCACGGACACCCTTGATAACGGCGTCTTGAATCAGACCTTTTCCGTCAAACCATCGTGCCAGCGAAAGCGTCACGTCTATGGAATCCACACTCAGATCGAACATCGTGTAGTTCGTATCTTCGTCTTTTAGCTCCTCGTTTGTCAAGTTCTGATGGTGCTCGTCCTCGTCCTCGAAATGGTACGACGGGTGATTGCTCACATCGTACCCAGCAGCTACCGCGTGGTCGGCAACTTCTGCGCGACGGCGGAAAGACTTGGGTCGACGGGTGACATATACATTTTTGAATGATATTCTTGAATCCTTCCATTTGGGAACGATGGCAGATTCGAAGATAATGGTTATACCAGTTTCGGACGTCAAGTAATCGCTTATTGCTCGTGCGATGTATTCTATGAACAGTGGTTATGACTTGGATCAGACGTATACAAAGCAATTGTTTACCTTGCAGCCTCAGGCTATTCGCTGTAGCAAATACAACCGAAAAGAAGGTAGTGCTATGACGAGATTATCAGTCACTCCATATCACAAGACATGAGATGCAACTCACGTTCCGATAAACAGCCACAGAGCCTGGCTCATAACGAACCAAGTTATGAACGCAGAAACATCATCCGCGTTGTATCTCCTGAACGACCTCAGGAATACCCATCGAAAGCGTACCCGCATACGTTGCCAGAACCCGGTGGCCGCGTTCAGGAAGTCCTCTCTAGTTGGCCTGTGCAAGTTGGGTATAGACATAGCAAGCTGTCGGAAAAAGCGAGGATAATTGTCGAAACGATGTGGGTCAACATTCTGAGCGGGCGAACTGGTTTTCTGCGGCTCTTCTTCAGGCTGTCCTGCAGAAGCCGACTCTGTAGCCTTCCGACGAGTGTTTTCGTCAGCCGGAGCAGGGGTATCAGCTAACCTAACGCTAGCATGAAAACCACGAATTTGGTATGACCGTCCGTATGTGACGGAGAGCCCCACGAAGAGAACCGGGCGCTGGGTATGCGCATGTCGCTGTGGCTGAGCAACGACCTGCTGTCGGAAAAAGTTGCGTATGATGCTGTATCGTTGGACAACAGCTGTATCCCGCGTTCTGCTGCATGCAGTGACTAGGGATGATCGTCCCGCGTTCCTGAACATCTTGATATGTCTCCGAAACGGTGAGTGTGACCCAGAGAGAATGATGCAATCAGCCCCTTCGCACAGAGAGATCCTGTTGTGGGAACAGCAGATGCGTGTTCCCCTTCAATTATGACTTTATGAGTCCCTGAGAGATCCAGGGCTCATGGGGGAATAGTGGGGGAGTGGAAGGGAACGAGGAAGCTGGCCAACCAGGAAAGCGAGATTGACGTTGTTGGTGCACACGACCAAAGCAGAACCCTAACCTTAAGCTTGGCGGACGCTGGCAGCGCGATCACATGACCAGTCATCAACGCGTTCCTCTGAGGACGACGGGCGTTTGCGATCTGATGGACGACGACGATGACGACAGACGGCTGGAGATCGAGCCTGCCTTCTGCTCAACTTGACAGCAGCTTGCAGTGAGAAGATTGCAGGACAGCTCATCATGGCAACTCGGAACAGCGTACTCTTCGTTCGCCTCTCCCATCATGACGACGACAGCAACGACGACGATGGCTGGCACTGTGACCGATAAGGTCCTCAACGTAGGATACGCTT